CCCCAAAGTGTGTCAAACATATTTTTAATCTTTTGTTGAAGTTATAGAAAAAGTAGAAAAGCTGAGCCACTTTTCTGAAAGAAGAATAAACAGTTACACCAAAAGCAAGAAGAGATTTCTTTGGTGAGCTGAGGTCCTGAACCTGCTGGAAGTATGGGGAATAAGAACTAGAACTAGAAACTCTGAAAACTAAATCTAGATAATATGAAAAATGTTTTTAGTCATAGAATATCCTGAGAGGACCTGCAAGGACCACTGCAGTCCAGGAACTCCTCTTCATGAGCAGCAAAGGCAGAAAGTGTAGTTTGTGTCTGGTGCTGAGCCTGGCTGGCATCCTCTCAGTTCCTGACAGCCAGCACCAGCACATGTCCCATCCCCACCAACAGCTCTGGCTCTGCCAGGTGGTACCAGACAATCACAGACATTTTAGGCAGGTTTGAGGTTTTTTTTGTCACTGCCTTGCAACAGTAGAAAATGCAGAATCAGCCCACTCATTCTTCTCGAGCACAAGGTTAAAAATAATATCAAAGGAAAAGGGAGAAGGAGATGGAAACAAAAGGAGATTGTGGCATTATAGAATGGTTTGGGTTGGAAAAGACATTAAAGATCATCTCATTCCATCCTCCTACCATGGGCAGGGACACCTGCCACTAGCCCAGGTTGCTCCAAGCCCCGTCCAAACTGGCCTGGACACTTCCAGGGATGGAACAGCCACAGCTTCTCTCTCTCACTGCCTCACCACCCTCACAGGGAAGGTCAAGGAAAGTCTCCTGTTGTGGAGGTGATGGTGACATGGGAGCACATTTGTGGTCTGGTCTCTTGAGCCATCTCCAGAATCTGCAGTTGATACAGAAACTTATCCTATCCTCTGTACCCATCATGTTGGCACCAATCCAGAGATCCCCACAGGACTGCTCAGAAAATCACTCTTCCAGAGAATTTCTGGACTGATCAGAAAATTGCTCATCACCTTAAAATTCTGTCTGTAATGTCAAAATCCCAATAAACCATGTCGGTTTTCCAGCCATTAACCCTCTGCCTTACCAAATAGATAATTCTTGGGTTTTTTCAACCTTTTAGCTTGCCACCTTTGCATTCTTTACATAATTAATTTTGTAACATTTTCCAAAGTGGTGATTTTTGTGGAATAGGTTGCTGTGGTCTTTGAACACTCCCAGGAGCATCTGCCTGAGGTCAGGGGTCCAAAGATGCCTGAGATACTTTCTGGTCAACACGACCCCAGGTCAAACCACAGGTCTGGGAGGAGGCATCTACCTGTGCTGGGTCACTGCAGTGCCCCCCAGCCCATGGCAGTGCAGGGGGCTCTGCACTGTGCTCGATCCAACATCCCACAGGAGCTGCCACACCAGGATCAGCTGCCAGAACACACAGCCAAGGGGAGCAGTGAGCAGAAAAACAAAGGTAGGAGATTGGAGAGAGGAAATCAGGAGAAAAGGAATAGGAAAGGCCACGATGCTCAGATACCAACCTGGGACTGGAGGCGCTTAGCCCAGCAGGTTAGAGGAAGACATTGTGGCACTGCTGCCACACCTCCAGCTGTGTCTTCTCCTCCTGGTAAAACAATCCCAGTCCCTGCAGGCTGCTCCAAGCCCCCTTTCAGAGCCAGCGATGCCCAGCTGGGCACCCAGGGTTTGGGTCCACTGCTGCAAAAGGAACAAACCAAGCAAAGCCTTTAGCAAAGGCTGTGAATTGCACTTGCTCTCGGTGCTGATATGACTGTGCTGTTTACAAGAAGCATAAATTTGTTTGTCATGTTTGCTGATTCATGGAATCACAGGGTGGTTTATGTTGGAAGGGACCTTAAAGATCATCTAGTTCCAAACCTCAAATTAATAGATTGCTGGTAGCAAAAACCAGCATCCAAAAAATAACTGGGCTTGTATCTACAAGCTGCTGCACTCTAAGAATGATGCCATTAGGAGGAAACAAGCCCCACGTAGAAGCAATGCCTCCCTGAGTGGTGTGTGGCTTGCAGTTGAGTGCTCTGCCTGCAAAACCTCATGACCCATGGGTGAGACTTCCTTAATTAGCCACCTATGTATTTTCCTAATTAGCTACTTCATTAGCCATCCAGTCAGGACCACTCTTGGGGTAAGCTGGTGGGTTTTTAGGAGCATCAGCACAGGATGATGCCGTGAACCCCATGTCAAAGTAATGACGAATGAGAGGAGAGATGCAGAGTATCTTTCTCCCTGAAAAACAAGTGAGGGCAGCCCCACAAGGCAGGTTTGTGGAGAGAAGTAGGTCAGGAGTAAGCAGCAGGTTGCAATTTCCTGGTCAGGGGTTACTGAAAGAGGAGAGCAGGAGACGCCTCCCTGGGCTGGCTCTGCACCACATGAAGAGCTTGGTGGTCATAACGAAACAGCTGCTGCCACAAACGGTGCAGATGCTCCTAACGGAGTGAGAAGGGCACCCACGGATGGTTGGAGTGGCTCCCAGTGACCCACGGGGCACAGAACACACCTCAGACTCACCGAAGAGCACCAGAGGATGTAAGAGCCTGAGTGAGAGATGCGGGACTTCAGGCAGCTCTTCAAAATGCAATTTATTGTATCCAAGATGGTACAGCAGTCCAGGGCCGTGGGTGACAGAGCCTGTGCCTACAGCTGTCAGCTCCAGCTGCAGACAAGTCTGAATACCCCTTAATTTTGGTTGCAATGCATTATATAATTTTCTTTGCCGATCATCTTAATAAACCAATCTATACTTTTACTTATAGTCTATCATAACTACTATAGTTGTCATATTCATGTTACTATTCTCCAAACACAAAAAGTTAGTATGTTACAGTTTAAGCTAGAAGGTTTTTTTTCAGTTTTCTTGCAGTGGAAAATTCTGAGACCTTTTTTCTACTTGCAACATGGGCAGTCTTGTTTGTCTGTGGAATATTTTGCTTGGTAAAAGCATCTTCTGTTTGTGGTGGGTTTATCCTTTTCTCTAAGCCATAAAACCCCTTCTAACTAACATACCTTTTGCCTTCTTAGTTATCCAGTAAGACTGGCTCAGCAATTCTTTTCTTCTATATCAAAATTCGATTTCATTTCCATTCCTTCTTCAGATTCTACATTAAAAAAATCTTTCTGCCAAGCATACATATCTGTTAAACTTTCTTGTCAAACTTTCATCCATCCCAACAAGAGGAGATATGAAAGACTTGTAGAATCACAGAACTGTGGAATGTTTTGGGTTGGAAGGGAACTCAAACACCATCTCATTCCATCCCCTGCCACCTTTTACTACTCCAGGTGGTCCAAAGCCCCATCCAACCTGGCCTTGATTCATCTGGACCCAGCAACTCACCTGGCCCACCCTGAGCAGGAAACCCAGGGTCCACCTGCACCAGGTGGATCTGATTTAAAGTGGTTTCTGTGCAGTCAAAATGAAAGACTAGAATGCCTGCGTGGGTTTGTCCTGATTTAAATGTAAAAGGAAATGCAGGCTTAAAACCTCCTGCAGCAGAAACCGAAGCAGAGGTCTGAGAGCCTGGCTCAGCTCTGATGGAAGAGGAGCAATGTCAAAAAAAGCGATATTGCAGTAATTTGATAAAAGAGTAGATAGTTATAGGATCATGGAATATCCTCAGGGACACAAGGATCACCCAGTCCAACTCCTGAACAGGGAGCTGTGCCAGGCTGTGTTCCTTGTGCAGCTCAGGAGGGAAGGGGCAGTTCCTCATTTCCTAAGGCAGGACACCTCAGCTCAGCAGGAAACCACGCCCTGCAGGTAGTTCCTGGTTCCTTGATGTGAGGGATCCTCATCCAGGCTTTAATCCCAGCACCTGAGAATTTCCTGGCTGGGGAGCACTGGGATTAAGCCATCAACATCTCCCTGCATTCCTGCTCAGCCAACCATTCAGCTGGGGGAGGAGAAAGTTGCTTATAGGGATGACAGCTTGCCTGGAGGAGGCTAGGACAGACCTTTCCCAGCTCTAATGAACCATCCCAAATTCTGGCTGCAGCCCTGGAATGTGACATCTCCTATCTTTTTTTCCCACCATTCCTAGACACCATCCCAGCGGTCTAAAAAACCTCATTCCATTGCCACCACTGCCTGCAGAACCTCCCTTCACTGCTTTCAGCCTCTTCTTTGAGTCTTTTCATCTATTTAGGCTGCAAGTTCTCTTCTGCTCCTTCTTACTCATCTCACTGCACAGGAAAATACCCGATCTGTGCCGAAATCTCTCAGTGCTACTGCAGCACAAACCCATTCTCTGTGTCTTTTGTCATTCTGAACTACCATGAAAAACTATTTTTTAAAATAAAATATTATTTTTATTCAGCAGATAAGTTATTGAATAAATACAGATTAAATTTATCATTTTTTTCTACTCTGAGCACACACAGAGCCATAAATACAGCTATAAATAGAAGACATAAATAGAAATATAGATATCTGTTGGTTGTTTACCATTTCAGCACTCAACAAGTGGAATCAGTTACCTCCGAAAATGTTTTGCAGTAAATCAATTGCAGCAGTGACATAAACCCAGACTGTGGTGGCAACCAGGCCTGGTGGCACCAATGTCTGACTGACATCCCAGTGAGCAGGGATGGCCAGAGAAGGGAAATGGGATAGGGATGAAGAAGGGAGGGAGAAGATGCAGGATGAGGAATTTTTTGTGGCAGTGCTGGTGGGCATGTATTCAATTAGGGCAATTTACTGCCAAGATCAACTTCATAAACTATAATTAATTTGGTTCACCAAACTGATATAAACCACAGTGGAAAAATAAATTTTAAAAAGCACTGCTAGGGGCCACAAACAAAACTCTTCCTCCCTTCCACCATCAGCTACCAACGATCTCCATCCTGAAATCCATAAATGAACAACAGCAAGAATCGTGACTTTCACGAGACAATTTGCTCAGATTTGGAAGGGGAACGACGCGTTGAATTCCTGGAGCGCGAGGCGGGCAGCTGTGGGATTTCACCAGAGGGATTTTTATGGGAAATACTTCCTCTCCCCTAGGCTGCCTGCTGCTAGGACTGGTGCTGGATGACGGGGGTGACGCAGGTGCAGCCCACGGTGATGATCCTCTTCTCCAGGCGGTAGGAGGGGACGCAGCCGCGCCGCTCCCGCCGCAGCACCAGGATCTCCTGCTGGATGGGCACCGAGTTGAGGCCGTGGTCCTCCTGCCCCTGGGGGCTCACACAGCCCGTCAGGCGGCACCGGGCGTCGGCGATCACCCGTGGGAAGCGGTTGGGATCCTCGTCCAGCCTGGGAACGGGGACACAAAACTGATTTAAGCACCTGGACGTCGTGGTTTGGTAGGACCTTCTTGTTTATATCCCCATCGTCCTATTTAACCTGTGTGCTCTCACTGTGAGACACAAAGGATTTCCTAATCCTCAATGGTTTCACAATGATTTCCTAGAAATGGGGAATATTGGTGTATCACTCTTTAGGAGCTGATGAATGGAGCGGAGCTGGGTTAAATAATGCAGAGCTCACAACTGGCCTATTCATTTCTGTTTGGTTTTAATTTCAGCATTTGGATGTTCCTTTCTGTTAGGAAGATGCAAAATGTCAATGTATTCACATCATTCTTTTCCCAGAGGAATAATTAATTTCATTGTTATTTCAACCTCATGCAGCACCAAAAACTCAGGCCAGAGGAGTTAGAAAGTTGCTCAGAGGAGCTGGGAAAGCTCCAGGAGCACCAGGAGGGGCTGAGGGAGCTGGGAAAGGGGCTCAGCCTGGAGAAAATGAGGCTCAGGGGGAACCTTCTGGCTCTGCACAACTCCTGACAGGAGGGGACAGCCAGAGGGGTCAGGCTCTGCTCCCGGGGAACAAGGGACAAGAGGAAACAGCCTCAAGTTGCTCTAGGGAAGGTTTAGATTGGATATTAATAAAAATCTCTTCCCTGAAAGGGTTGTTAAGGCCTGGCACAGCTGCCCAGGAATTATCATCCCTGGAGGGCTTTAAAAGCCGTGTGGATGTGGCACTTGGGGACACGGGTCAGTGGTGGCCTTGGCAGTGCTGGGGAAATGGTTGGACTCAAAGACCTCAGAGGGCTTTTCCAGCCTCAATGATTCTGTGATTGATAAAGACTGACAAAAAGATTGGAAATCATTTCATTGATAGCCCCTTGCACTGCAAACAGTTTTTCCTGAAGAAATCCCAACAAATATCAGAACACCAGGGTGTGTCAGAAGTGTTTGCAATATTCATGGGACTCTGGACATATGCTGAGAATGAACCACAGCCAGCACAAAAAACCATCTGTGGCACAGCCCTCACAATTTAGAGAACAACTGAACAGTTACCTGTAATCCCAGGGAGCGAGAGACCGGTTCCTGATATCATGGACCATCCCAAAGGCATGATCTGAGTTGCTGATCTGAATGTCAACGTTCACTGTTGTGGGGAATTTGGGATCCTTTTGGTTCAGGCAACCTTCCTTCAGCCTTGCAGAGGCACCAGCCTTTCTGTGGGGTGAGCTCCTCACAGTGAGGGCTAAAACCAGCACCAAAACCAGAGATCTGAACTGGGGGAGAGAAAGGTGTTGTTAGTTCTGCCCAGTCAGGAAAGAGAGAGCATCAAGAGCCAAGTCTTGGTTAGACTGGACCATCTTCATATTTATATTTGTGTGAAATGGGCCAAGATGAGCAAATAGCATAATTATGTTAATAAAACTCATCATAACTGATGCTAAACCCCGATTTAAATGCTGGTTCACAGTTGATTCTGCAATAGGAAGAGCACCTGTCCAACAAGCTGTGAAGATCCTACTCTGAGGTCCCACAGACCCATCTTTTAATCTAAAACCTGGGGTAAGGACTCAGCTGACCCCTGTGCCTAAGCTTAAAACCTTGCCCAGCCATGGTTTTCTCAGGACAATAAAAGCTGGCCACCCACAGCCATCTGATGGAAATACCCCTTTTGCCAAGAAAATCTGGGATTCTTGGGCAATTTCCAGTAGGCAGAGTTTTAGTAAATATTAGAATCATAGAATATCCTAAACAGAAGGGGAACCACAAGGATCATTAAGACCAGTTCCTAAAAAGAAGCCAAAATAAATGCAGGGCTTTTAAGAAAATCACAGGAGCTGACAGTGCTGCAAATGCTACCCAGGTTGAAATTCAAATGCATAGGTATCCACAGTGCAATTTCAGCAGTTTTGATAACATGTTGTCTGCAAAAAGGATTCTGCCAATCCCCCATCAGCAGTGCTGATGAGATAAATAAATAATGGGTTTATTATGCCCATGCAAGCATGCCCTCATCACTCAGTCACCAAGCAGCTGCATCAGCCACACCCAGCATCCCATGCAGCTCCCAGCAAGGCTAAAAGGGTTTTCTGCACAAATCAGGGGATTTGCACTCTGCTTTCTGTCTTGCAGCAAATACATCTTATCCTCTATTTTAAATATAAGTACTTACCCCAGCAGAGCTCGTGAAAGCCATGGTAACCTCCCTGCTGCTTTGGGTGGATGTTAGGGCAATCGGACAAGAGAATTCTCCTTCTCTGAGACCCGTTCAACCCTGCTTCTGTCTTAAAGCCAGTTGTGCTCTCCATTTTATAGCAAAGCTGAGGCACTGCCATCCTTTCCATTGCAGTACAGCTGGCTTACCTAACCTGAGGTTAGGAGCTGATATTGCAAATTTTAGCCCACTTCCTCCCATCTAACTCCAAAAAAGGGAAGGGCAAATACTACTACCAGCATCCCAAATCAGCCAATACCATTTATTCAGGCAGATCAAGAGATAAGGACTTAAAAAAAAGCAAATTATTCAGGCAGGTGGGTTTTTTTTTTCACTCCTTTCCACTCCCCTCTTTCTAATAATAGTGTTCTTTCACCACAAACTTGTGTGGATGCACTCCCACGTGCCTCAAACAAGCCCAACAGCAGAGATCAGCAAGCTGCAAAGTCAGACACCCAGCAAGGGTTTCAAAATGAGGGCAGGACATGGAACATCAACATTTAACCTCCCTTCAACTGCACAATCCACACCCACCCCATCTCAGGCATCCCTGTGTCCATCAGGGACTGGACAGGGGAAGAATAAGTGCCATTAAAATTCCTTCTGGGGTGTCAGGACACCAGGAGCTGGGATGCCTTCCCTGCTAGTGGTGACACACTATGGAGAATTCTCATACACACCCTGTTAGGGCCCTGACCACCACCAGGAGCCCCATTCTGGCTCAGCTTTGACTCCCAGTCCCTGCCTGAGCTGTGCTTTTGGAATACTGGAGCAGCATTTCTCCTGGATGGGCTCCTTGGACATACACAGTGGTGAATGGAGCTGGGGAAGGGGCTGGAGCACCAGGAGGAGCCCAGACTTATGGAATAATCTGGAGCTAGTCCATCTTTGATATCTTTAGCACTCCCACACACACAGTTCCTTACTGATCCACCTTTATCCTTTCCTTTGCACACTTTGCTCCTGCTTCTGTACATCCCATAAGTCTTGCACAATCCCAAAACACTCCAATAAGTCCCATGGCCCTGTAGCCAGCAAGGTGGTGTGAGGAAAGCCTCTCCTGACTTGTCTGGTGTGACTCACATGGAATATGGTGGGACTAGGGTTGACCATGGTCCTTGAAGAGCCCTGAAAGAGCTGGGTCAGAACCTTCATTTGAATTCCTCCACCTGCTCCTGTTCCTTTGTGTCTGTGGAAGATTTAACCCCCTCACAATCATACAAACCTCACTTAATTATTAACAGGAGAGGGAGGCATGAAAATAGAAGTGAAAACAGGATTCTGCATCCTGTGGTCCACAAAGAAGCAGCTACCAACTGGAAAGTTTGTGCATGTGGTGTTTCCCTGGAGCACCAGCAGGTCTCTTAGGAAGTAAAAGCCATTTTTATGTCAAAAAAAAAACCAAAACAACACATAACAACTGGATGAAACTTATTTGTGGAGAAAAGCACTGAGAGAAACCTTTCCCAAAGCTATGTAGCCAAGCTGGAAGCAAAGCACTAAAGTGTTTTCACACAAATTCATCTTCAGTCATCCAGGGAATCAACAGATTAATGACATTTTCAGTCAAAAAAACAGTTCCTACAAAAGAGATTTCTTACCAAAAAAAAAAAAAAAATCAGAAACTTCTTACAAATTCACAGAACTTTCCAAGGAGAAGGGACCAATGGTGCCTGCTCTGTCACCTCCCTTGAATCACAGCAGCAGAAATCTGCATCGACTGATGCTTTACATCACTGCAGGATGTTGTCATGACTTTGTGGTCTGGTTCAACTGGCAGCTCAGAGCCCAGCCACTCTCCTCCTGTGCATTTGTCACATTTCAGGTTATCACGTCCACACGAGGCAACACTAGAGCTGTGACACATGCTCCTATTCTGACTGGCCTAAATGTTCACCAGTACACCTACTGAGATGTGACACGGAGCGTGGAGGAGCAAGAGAGGGTAGAATTACCAGAAATCCACTTTTTTAGCCCAGAAGCTGACCTCCTTTTTTTCCCCCTGAGTGTTCATCGTGAAAGGAAAGGGGACTGCCATGAAAACGGGTTGGATTGTGCAAAAACGGGGTTGAGTGGAAATGGTTACGTGTGACGAAGCAATGACGTTGTCACGCTAAATACTGGGTTATGAACCCCCACCACCACTTTCCACTCACTTCTTGTGTCTTCAGCAGCTTCTAACTTCAGCAGGGATTCCCTCTTTGATCCAGAATTTCCTGCTGAACTTGTCTTGACGAGTTGAAGTTTACTAAAAAAATCACAAAGGAGGCCACCAAACGTGAATCATCACAAGGGAGGGAAAATACTTTTATTCCTAGAATCACAGAATGGCTCTGGTGGGAAAGGACTTTAAAGATCATACAGTTCCACTACCCAAGCTGCTCCAAACCCTGGCCTTGGACACTTCCAGGGACCCAGGGCAGCCACAGCTTCTCTGGGCACCCTGTGCCAGGGCCTCCCCATCCTTACAGGGAAGATTTTTTTCCTTATAGGTAGGAATATAAAGTTATCTCAAAAAGCTTTTCCCTCTCACACATCAAGGGCTTGGAGCAGGGATGGAAACTTGGAGATTAAATATTAATTCCACTTACCAGAACTCTTCTACTCTTGAGCTCCTATAAAGAATCAGCACTGCCTGCACTGCAGGATATGTTACATGCTTAGGTTCAGGTTTTTGTGGATGATTAAGTCACGCGATAATATGGGTTGGAAAGAACCTTACAGACCATCCAGTCCCACCCCTGCCATGGGCAGGGACACCCTCCACAAGACCAAGTGCTCAGAGCACCTTCCACAGCCTGCAGCAGCTAAAGGCTGAAATCACAGCCTCCGAATCTCCAGATGACAGGGTCAAATGAAAATTTCAGCTGCAGCACAGGACACAGCTTTGTACTTCCAGGAGATTGCTCCTGCCTCTCCAGGCTTCTCTCGTCAACAAAGACACCTCTCCCAATTGTAAAGCATGCACCGTGGTGGCCACCAGCACAGGGGGATGGTAGTCACCCACAGCCTACAGCCCCGGGTACAGGATAGGGAAATACCCAGATTTTTCTACCCTGGAGCTCCTCCTGGTGTCCTCTCACGAGAAACTCAGTATTAGCTGTTCCTCAGCTGTAAGGGCAGGGAAAACACAAAATCATGGAATTACGGAATGGGCTGGGACACCTTCCACTAGTCCAGGTTGCTCCAAGCCCCATCCAACCTTGAACACTTCCAGCGATTCAGGGGTCTCCCCACCCTCACAGGAAAAAGTTTCTCCCCAGCATCCCCATCTATCCCTGCCCTCTGGCAGTGAGAAGCCATTCTCCCTGTCCTGTCCCTCCATCCCTCATCCCAAGCCCCTGTCCCGCTCTCTTGGAGGCCCTTTAAGCACTGGAAGGGGCTCTTAAATCTCTCCAGATCCTTCTCCAGGCTGAACAATCCCAGCTCTCCCATGCCATCTCCAGAGAAGAGGATGTGTGTTTGTTTAATTTTCACCAGTTTTTGCAATTTTGAGCCAGACCTTGCCTGAAGGTCCAAGGTTGCTCTGTACTAGCACAATACACCCACTCAGAGATCCTTAGGCTGCAAACACACAAAACCCCCTCAAAACCTGCTGTCAGTTGCTTTCTTGGATGAGAGGAGCTCCAAAATCTGTCTTGAGCTCACCAGGCAGCTGAAGTCCTTCCACAGCAGCACACATCCCACCTGTGTAAGTGCAGCTGTATCCCCACAAGTGGGAATCCTACATCCCCCCAAACAGCCAACCATGGGTGAACAGTAGAGACATTTATATAACCCAAATAAAGATTGATGGCACCCAGGAAGAAGGGAGCTGTGTCTGGATAGGCAGTGACAACAACAAACCTGTTCAGGGGTTCCTCCAAAGTTCAAACTCACAAAGACAAAAGAAACTGAAGAAAAACCCAAACCTTCATCAGCTCTGGACCACAAGCTGCCAGAACTGTCCTGATTGTGTGTACAGCTTTTCTTGAAAGTTTGCCATCCCCAGGACATGATCCCAAGCTAAAGGCAGGAAAAGGAGGAGATGGAATCCATCTGTGCCAGGGACACATTCCCTGGGCAGCTCTGAGACCTTCCAAGTTCCTTCCCTGGGGCTAAAACCCCCATCAGGGGTGTGAAATCTGGAAATTTAAGCTGACCCATGGGCAGTGGAACAGGTCAGACTACACCTGGCCCTCCATTGCCAGGAATTATCCTCCACAAGATGGGTGGGAAGGGCAGAATCAACAGGATGGTCTTTAGGCACCTTTCCCTGTGAGACAAGAACATCTAGGCTATGTAATGGGGAAAAAATGGAAAAAAAGGGGGAAATAAAAGCTTCACTAACAGTGGAGCTCTCATATTGCTTCTTATCACCACCACTGAATGCTGGATTCCTAAATCCAGAGTTTTTTATTTATTTAAATGCTGTAACTCTTAACACCAAAGCTAAAAACAATACATTAAAAACACTGACAATTTCCTCCTAAGTTTTTCCTTTCATCTCTTTGCAGAAACCACTTCCCAAATACTCCACTGTGAAGACAACAAGAGCTTCCAGAGCTCCTGGCTCTTTTCTTTAGTGCCAGAAATGCACAGCAAGGAAATGCACAGACTTGAGCTCCCCAAATCCAGCTCAGCCACATGAAGCATTCAAACACAATGAGTCTCCAAACTGAGAGTCTGTGAACAACTTGGGCTGCTGGACCCAGAGGCTCAGATTAGGAAGATAATGTCATCAGACACCATGATCTGGTTGTCATCCTGCATGTGAGCCAGGGCCACCTTCACCTCGGCCGACGAGAAGGGTTCGGGATTGTCGCGGTTGATGGATTCCATCACGTTCTTCAGGCCCACAGACTGGGCATGGGAGGCTTTGAACACCTCCAGGAGAGCAGCCTTGAACGCTTTCAACCTGGTCAGAGGAGAAGGAATCACCCTTGGAGAATACACAAAAATCCTTCCACTTGTTCCCAGCCCAGGATGCCTCAGCCCTTCCC